AGGAAGATTCAAATTAAACATTATTCTACACAATTTATAATTTATGAAACCAGCAATGGTTTTTATCTCCACTGCGTTTGCATCCGTCATTCTTGTTTCAAGAAGATTGTGGTAAGCTTGCATGTAATGCCTGCAAAACATTCACATGTACATGTATATATTGCAGCACAACTGTTATCATATTTTTTTAAATCTTACTTTTGAGCAAGATGCAACTCCTGCTTGAGTTCGTTCAAGAATGCCATTTTAAATTGATGTCGAACAAATAAGTATTGATGAACATTCTTAGTGAGCTGATCGCGATGACTTTTAACATTCCGATATTCGTGATGATAAAAGTTTTGTGCCAAATCGTAGAACGCCGTCTCTAGCCTATAATAAACAAGCTGTATTATTTCCTTTCAAAAATGAAAACAATAGAGGATAAAATATGTACTACAAAATTAAAAACCTCGATATATATCCCAGTAAGTGATCAGCATGCGGCAGAATGTACAAAAGCTTTGCTGTTAAATCACAAGCTCCACACAACGCTGTTGCGCGCTCAGTCGCGACTACGTCTTCGGCACCAGGAAGCGGTTGAACTGCATGTTGTATCAACACTACAGCTATTTTCGTACTTCTTCCGTCGAGAGCGGCTCTAAAAAGGATATCATATCGCTTAGTTTAATGCATCGACAATACAATATAGCATTAAAGTATATTCTAAATAGATTATAAAATGTTACCTTAAAGATTGCACTCTAGATGCACATTCCATCTTTTTCTCATTCCACAAAGGATCATTCCAGTCTAAATCATAGAACACAACAACCACAGAAGGAATATCATTGAGATACTTGTTTATCCAGTTCCGTTTTAAAATTCCTTTAGGTATGTACCATTCGTATGAGCTACGCTAAAATGTATAAAGACAATACATAGCAATATCAAATCAAATAGCATCAATTTTTTTACAAGTATATGACAGCAAATATTATACCATCAAACATTATGTCAAATATTATACCTTTGGCTTGACAGTAGGAAATTCGTGCGCCAAACCGAGAAGCTTGAACTGAACGGCTGCGCAATCCGGTCTACGATTATTGCTGAATGCATCCCAGATAGAGCGATGTACTGGATTTGCAATGTCTAATCCAGTCAAACCTATCAGAGCTAAAGGCTTAGCTATCAATTCTGCTGGCAATTCAAACATCGTGAAGCCTTTACTGGAAGAATGAGTAACAATCAATATGCAAATAATTCTTACGAATTTCAGGTGTGTTACTATTTAAAAATCTCTTATTTCAACCTTTCAATCTTATTCGTGTAACACTTAGAACAATATATGTAACACATTTGTAACAATACATGTTCTAAAGTGTAACAGCATATTTTATAATATAACTTGTCAAATAATATCTGAATCTACTTACGAACGAATTACATGGGATAACACGTTAGTAAGGATAACACGTTACTTTGCGATTAGACACTAATTAATATTATATGTCATTTTCCACTTTGACAGTTCAGATCTAGGTTATAAATGATCATCAGCGATATCAGCAAAATTACAGGTTAGGTTAGGTTAGAATTCAGCTGCATTTCATTTCGTGCATGATGTGCTTGACGTATAATTTTATCCTTGTTGTTCACTGAATGTTAAACAAGGCTAAAATAATATATTATGCGTATCATGCGTGAAACAGAACGCACCTTTCGTGTATGGGAATAGTGTAATCGCACCACAGTCACAGTCGTTACAGCGAGGCCGTACAGCTGTACTACATACTTTGTACATACTTTGCGCACTTAATATAAGACATATGTATAATGAAACCACTATAAATTAAACGGTGGGAAAAAAGAGCACAAATTAAAAACAAAAAAAAGTTTAATTACAAAAAAGAAATTATTGCACAAGAAAAACGCAAGAGTCGATCGGTTGCGTCTTTAAATTGTACTTTTATTAAAGA